TCCCACGTGAAGTGCCAAAAGAGGTCTGAGGGATCATCTTCTCCACCTGTAGGAAAACTAGACTCAGAGCCGGGCTTCAAAGCTGAAATTCTAGGGAAAATATCCAAGAGCAGGCACGAAGACTGGCAGGCCTTTTGTCCTGGACAATTTGCCAAACGGGGGGAGGGCAGGGGTGGTAACTCCTTTTTCAATGTCCTCTAATGGCATCAGCTCAATCTCAAGTTGGGCTTCTCAAGAAAGGAGGAGAAGGAGATATCAGTGATGATGGTGATGCAGTCAAATGCTCTACCACTGAGCTATACCCCCAGTGATGATGGTGATGATGGTGATGGTGACAACGAGAATAATCTCAGTAGCAGGGACAGCACTAGCCACCATCTCTCCAGTGCTCACTCTATACATAATTTCTTTTATTTCACACGTTATCTCACTTAATTCTCATAAAAAAATCCCAGGGAGGTAGGTATTACTGTGAGCTCACCTCATGTTAAAAAGAAACCGAGTCTGAGCAATAACTTGCCCAAGAGATCCTCCAGCCAGTAGACATCAGAGCTGGATTCAACCCCAGTCTGGGCACCCTCCGAGCCAGGGTTCCAGGGGACAGAGCGTGGGCTGAGCCAGCTTGTGATTAATGGCTGAGTCATGGCCTGTGGAGGCCGGGGCGGGGGTAGCACAGCGATGGCCATGTGCTGGGTGGCCTGAACCTCACACAGGCAGCTTTTCAGGCAGATTGGATCCGGGTTGGGTCAGCTGGTGCTCTGCCCTCTGGCCCATCCAGCAACAGGGTGACCTCCAGCTGGAGTGAACGGCCAAACTATTGTTTGCAGCTTTGCAGGAAGCTATTTGAAAGGGCCACTGAAAAATGATCTTACTAAATCAAGCTGTACCAATATTTTTATTTCCTTTCAAGCAATGCCACGTTTAAAGGCATTAGATGGGCCCGTTTGTAAAGCCTGGGAAACAAGTCTACGTGCCTTAAGTTCAGAAAAACAAAAGCGTCCTGCACTTAAAGCAGAGAGAACGGAGAGAACAGGATGGTGTGCATCCTTCTCAGAGCCAGTCCTCACTCTTGGCACCTGATGGATGCTTGATGACAAAGCCCAGTGAAATCCAAAACATTTTGTCAGCGAAATGTCACATGTCCTGACATGTATGCATATTAAGTAATATTCTCATGGTTCCAACAGTTTTTTTTTAAGACAAGAAATTGGTAGAGAAACTTAGCTTGTTAATTGTATGGTTTATAGGTTATTTTTTAAATATATGACAAATGACTGACACTTGTCCAGGAAATGACTTTTTGTAGTATTTGTAGAGAAGAGAAATTCAGAGACCTAATCCCCCCAGGGGTCCCTAACCTCCACCCCAATCTACTGCACCTGACTTAAGAGGAGCAGTGTTAGGAGAGGCAAAAACTGGAACCCTACCGAGTGTGTGAGGGTCACCGGGCACGTGCTCACCATTCACATCTCCCCAGGAAGTGTGTTTTAATGCTGAGTAGGGCAGATGTTAGCCATAAAGGCCCCGGAAGCCCAGTAAGAACCACTGGGACAGGGAAGCAGAGAAAATATGAGAAAACAGAGTATGGAAAAAAGAATTTTCCCCATATTCACGATACAATCAGGGATCGTTTAGAAAGTAAAACCCAAGTGTTTTAGGGTGGGAGGGCACCAGAGAGATCAGTTGTATGCATGAAGAAAAGGGCTGGGGCCTCCAAGGAAGGTCCCCTGCCAGGTCCAGCAGCCAAACAGGGGTGAGGTTTGGAGGGGACCTTGGCTCTCCGACAAAAGATCCTCCCCAGAGCCGGCTCTGGGGCCTTGCAGAAACAGGGACTGTGTCTGGAGGGGGACCAGTTCCACCGTGGCAGAGTCTCAGGAGTTCAGTCATTGCAAACCCTAAAAGCAGACTGCCATTGGAAGCCCAGCTCCAAAGACAGTCAAAGAGGTTTGAGGTTTGCAGGACGTGTGTCTAAACGGAGGCTTTCTGGCTCTACCTACTAAATTAAATAAGATTATTTTCTAAATGAAAGGAAGAAGCAGGAAAACTAAAGATAAAAACTGGGTTCTGACGAATAGAATGATGATGTTTGCTTCTCTTTTGGCGAAAAAAAAAAAGCTTAACTGATAAAGCAAATATCTGACACCTCAGAGGTTCTCTATTAAGATGGGTGAATCAACAGCAGGGATGGTGGATCATAAATGCTATCCTCAGGATAGCTTCCTGGACCTTAGTGCACACAACTCAACGGGTCTTGTTAGAATACAGATTGATTCTGGGGGTCTGGGAGGAGCCTGAGATTCTGCTTTTCTAACCAGCTTACAATGATGCTGATCTACAGACCACACTTTGAGCAGCAAAGCCCTGCAGTTTGCTAAGAACTTTTCTTGGTGGTTCTCTAACTTGTCCAGGTGGGTGGGAACCCATACATCATGAGGCTTTTTGGGAACCTATCTTATTCCAGCATTTGAACTGGTCCAGTCTTGCTGCAAAAAATAATACGATGCCAGGTAATGTATGATGTGTCCCTCAAAATGACACTGACGACCAAGTTCATGTCAACTGGTTGCTTCTGGACTTTCCTAAAAATGTTTGCTACTTGCCTGGCACATAGAAAGCTCAAGAGAGGCCTTGGTATAAATGAATGAATGAACAAACGAACGAACAAAAGAAGGAAGGAAGCAGGACACTAAGTGAACTTGGCTCCCAGCTGGCCTCTGTGCATATTTAGACCATCTCATAAGTCATTCCACTTGTCACGTACGGAGATGGAGGAATAATACAAAACCATTGTTGGACTTGGTGAGAAAGAGGGAGGAGGGGGTGGGGGGGAACACCGGGGGCAGCCACTAACTTCTGGGGGTCACCGAGCGCCAGGCACAGAGTTAAGTCCTTTACATTGACTGTCTACTTCATCTTCTCAAAACCCCTGTGAACTGGGGATGATGCTAAAGATCTGCACTTTAGAGACTGGGGAACTGAAGCACAGGAGGGTCAGTAACCCGGGATGCCCCAGTTAGGAAGGAGGAGACAGGCTCAACCCATAGCGAGCCCTGACCCCCTTCTCTGCCAGCAGTTAGTACCCCCAAACTGGCTTGCCCATGCGGCTTCTCCAAATCCAATATTAACACAGCTGAAAGACCTAATCGATACTCTCAGTGTCTGTGTTTTTATGATACGGATATAGCTTAGCACATGGACGCCACGTTTATGAGCTCTGTCTGATGGTTTCTGAGGTTTTTTTAAATTAAGGAGTAAAACAGGGGCGCCTGGGTGGCTCAGTCGTTAAGCATCTGCCTTCGGCTCAGGTCATGATCCCAGGGTCCTGGGATTGAGTCCCACATCGGGCTCCCTGCTCAGAGGGGAGCCTGCTTCTCCCTCTCCCACTCCCCCTGCTTGTGTTCCCTCTCTCGCTGTCTTTCTCTGTCAAATAAATAATTAAAATCTTTAAAAAATAGTTAATTAAGGAGTAAAACAAAAGAACTGTAGAGAATATTGAGAAGAAAATTGTTTTTGGAGAGGTAAATTTTTAAAGGTTTCAAAAACACACAAAGAATCTTCATATGCTCCTCTCCCCAGAAGGGCCAACTGTCAGCACTATGCCCCATTTGCTTTATCATCTATGCATGCTCTTTCTCCCTCTGGCTCATATATATATATACACATATCTCCATTAGTTTTTTCTGACTCATTTGAGAAGAGGTTATAAACAGCATGCCCCTTTACTCCTAAACACATCAGTGTATAATTCCTAAGAATAAGTCCATTCTCTGACACGTGTCAGTTATCGACGTCAGGGAAAGTTCACATTGATATAATACTTTCTAATCTAATCTACGATCCATATCCAACATTGCCATTAGGCCCAAGGATATCTTTTAGAGCCTCGTGCATTTTAATGGCTGGATGTGTATTAAGAATTAATACAGGTAATTAAGAATTAATATGTGTCGAGTGCTTTGGCATTTTTGAAAGCCCTTCCACTACACGAACTCCGTTGGTTCTCATGTTGTCTCTCTGAGGTCAGGTGAGCAGCAACATTCCTGTTCTACCTGGGACGAAAATGAGCCTGAAGGAATGTTAAATTCAGAGTCAGTGCTCAGCAGACCCCTCCCTGCACATCACTGCTTGGTGCTTAAAGACTTTGCTTCAGTGCCAACCAGCAGACTGGCCACTAATCCAAACATTTAAAATCCTATAAATAAAATAATATTTCTTGAGTGTTTATATCTCTAACCACTTCCTTTTACGCTAACATTATAGATTCTAATTAGCACCCATAGCTACACACTCAGGAAGAGATGGAGCACCTTGGTATGAGTTGGGAGGCCCAAGAGGTGACTCTTGGTCTTGCCTGATCTGTTTTCCAGAGCCTACACCACCTTGCACACAGAACCTGAACTCATAACCCGCAAAGGATCCCCAGCCGCATGCTTGACTTGATCACACAAAGCTGAAACACTGGATATCCCTTCCGGAGCATAGTCAAAACATTAGTTTGAGGTGGGGAGGGAGTTTCCTAATCCTCACAAATAGCCTAAAAAGGGCCAAACTCATGAACTTGCCTGTTAAACAGGAAAAGCACTGATTTGGGAAATGGAACCGTGGGGTTCAAATCTCTACTCTGCTGCTTAGCTAATTTTCCTTGGGCACGTGACCTAACTTCACCGGGCCTCCATTCCACCATCCACAAGCCCAGAGAGTAACTACCACCCACAAGCAGAAATGGAGTGAAGGGGCCAACATGGAGTCTGGTCCAGTGCCTGGTGTTGAAAGGAAAAGAAAGGTTGCCTCTGCTTTCAACACAACCATGAAGGAGCCAAGCAACACTGAGTTTGTAACAGGATATGAGCCATGTAGGGAGTCTGGATGAAAATTTTGCATGGTTCATATACCCACTTTGCAGTAAGTGCTGTCTTTGGTGACAAGGAGTTGAATTTTTCCTGTGTGTGGCACTCTGCTCTAAGTTTGTGAATGTGGGGTAGTAAGAACAAAAGATTTACCTTTTCCAAGGCCTCTCTGTCAAGTAGTTCCTGCACAGCTAGAAGCTTGATGCTGTAAGAAAAAAATTGACACCGGGCTTGAAAACAAATCATTTCACGTCACCAAGCATCAGCCAATCCCTAGCCCATGAGAACAAAAGTTTGACATAGCCTGCATTTCTGCTGAGCCCCATCTAAAGTAACCTTTGCTTTGAATTGAAATGACCATTTCAGAACGATTAAAAATGTTTCTAAATTGTACAACTGATTGCATCATAGGATCCAGAAATTTCACTTCTGGGCATATACCCAGAGGAGTTGAAGATAGGACCTGGAACAGACATTTGCACACCCATGTTCACAGTGGTCAAAAGGTGGAAACAACTAAAATGTCCATCAATGGATGCAGGGGGTAAACAAGATGTGGCACACACATACAAATGTGGAATTATTATTCAGCCTGAAAAAGAAGGAAATTCTGGCTCGTCCTACAACATAGAGGAAGCATGAAGACATGATGCTAAATGAAACAAGCCAGACACAAAAGGACAAATGCTGTCTGATGCCGCTTCTATCAAATAGCTAGCACAGTCACATTCAAAGGGACAGGAAGTAGAAAGGCGGTTGCCAGCGGTGGGGGGGGAGGGAAGAGGGGGGAACTGTTATTCAGTGGGTACAGGGTTTCGGTTTAGGATGACCAAAAGTTCCAGAGATGGATGGTGTTGATGGCTGCACGTCAATGTGAATGTACTTAATGCCCCTGAGTTGTATGCTCATAAATGGTTAAAATAGCAAATTTTATGTTATGTACATTTCACCATAAAAAATTCTAAAAATCATATTTGCTGCATATATTCAGAGGAATATAAAGAAGAAAATAGTTGCCCGTATTCAATATTAATCTTCCCTTCATGTCCTTTTGATGCTAACAAGCCAATAACTAAAATCTCTGCTTATGAACGGCCTGCTCAGCCGTTTACCACACAGTGACCGAGCCCTACTGTGTGCAGGTGGGCAAAGGTACACAAAGACTGGGACATGCGCCCTGCCCAGGAGCTCACAGCCTCTTGGAGGCCACAGTTCTGGCCACAGCCAGAACACGATGCAGGGTGCCGAGTGGACGGGCCCCGGCAGAGAACAAGGAAGGCTTCCTGGAGGAGGGTCTGGGCTGGCCTTGACTCGGGAGAAAGGCGACCCACAGAGGGGCAGCAGAGGCAAAGGCACCAAGGGCAGAGCAGGGGTGTGGAGAGTACACAACTCGCCAGTTTCCAGTTTAGGGGCCAGAGCCCGGACTGTAGCCAGCAACTGACACGAGAATTCAGAAGTGGATGTGGGTTTTACAAGGAAGGTAACCTCCCCCTCATGACATGCCGCTTTTCAAGTGTTTGTGGACACAAGGCTGGAGTCATCCGCACATGGGAGGAAGCACGAGAGCTCACTGAGATTGTTTAGGGAGCAGGTCAGCTGTTGATGGTGCATGATGTTCTCTCCCCACTGAACCAATCTGTTTATGGTCACTGGACACTGCATTCTCTACCTCCGACCAAACTGCATGGTTCTCTGGAGCAGAAATGTCCCCACCCCCCCCACCTGATGAGCCTCCCTCCAAAGGGGTTATTGCTCATGATAAGGTTCACCTTAATTTACAGATTTCTTCGTAATCTCTCCGTACAACTAAGCAAGCACATCCAACCAAATGCAATGGCTTACAAAAAAGCAACTCGAGGAAGTACAATAACAGTTTTAAAGCTTACGAGACACTACCACCACTAACAATTCCGCAACTATCGGAGCTAAAAGACAGGACTCTGGGCACTCCCTCTGCTCCAACCACACTGACTCTCCTTCATCTCTCGGACATTGGTTTTGTTGTTCGTCTGGCTTGGGTCCTGCCCAAGATCTTTACAACACTGACTCTGGCATACTGTGTCATTCCAGGCCAAATGTGAATGCCACGTCCTCCAAGCAGCCTTCTCCGGACACTGAGGTCAAGCAGCATCCCTGATCATCACACTTTATTTTCTTCAGTGCACTTGCTAGTCCCCTAAAGCATTGATTTGTTGGGGTGCTGTTGTCTGTCCCTTCCAAAAAGCAAGGAAGCTCCCTGTGGCAGGGGGCTTGAGGGTCTTCTCACCATTCCATTTGCAGGGTCTGTAACTGGTACATGGAAAGTAGTCCAGGAACATTTACTGACCAACTAGCAGGGCGCAGTCGGTATTACAGCTAATGCAATCTAGCTTGGCTCACTGGCCGGGCCTCAGTTTCTCCCTCTGAAAAAGAATGCCTCCAACGAGATGACTGTGTATGTTTTCCCTCAGTGACATGCACTGCGTGCCTCTGTGCACATGCCTGCCATTAATGGGACGTGCCTGGTGGCCGGTCAATGCTCCTTGCTACTCCTCAGCACATTCTGATTCCCCATGAATCTAAATTCCAGGCCACCGATTTGGATGGCAACTTACATGCTCAGTTAGGGGTTTCCAGGGGGAGCTCGAGTTTCAGAAGCTTAAACTGCTTCTGAAATAACCACTGGAAAATAGTTCTACCAGGGGAAATTTTTCAGCAGTCTCTCATTCCTACCCCCGTCCGTGGCCTTGAAGTCCGATTCAGGATCAAATATCAGACATCAACCGATTAGAGGAAAGGTTTAAACACTGTTGAGATCGTCAACTCTCTTTTTCTCCCTGCTTGCAAAGATATTACATGCAAGCCATTGTAGAACATGAGCCGGAAACCGACCAGTTTCAGGCTCTAAGGGAAAATGAAATGAAGACATTGACTCTCATTTAAGTCAAAGCCTGAAGGATGCTGCTCCCTGCTCTGACTTTCCTCTTGAATGGGGACGTGGCATGCGTAGTGCCACTCTCCAACCCTCTCCACCTCTTCCCATGAACTTTGCCCCCATGTAACTTAGACGCAGCTTCAGAATCCTTCTCAACACTCCAGTGAGACCCAACCAATCTACTCAAGGGGGCACATGACATTAAACATAAAAGCAGATTTAATATCTGCTCTAAAACCAATGCCAAAGAGTATTAACATATGGAGGGGTCAGAAAAAAAAAGGGGGGGCATTCCCACACTACTCAAATGCAGCAATGCGAGATGAGATTGCTTTAGGGGTAGGGGGAGAAAAGACAGGAAGAAGAAGGAAAGACACTCAAATCTATATGGCTGGAGTTTCAAAATGGAAACAATGCATGGTAATAAGAAGTTACTGCCCCAGCTGCTTGTAACATTGGATTTCTTCAGGGAGCTGTGGGGTTTCTCTTCCTCCTTAGAGCTATAATCTTTAAGCGTCTCGGAGATGTTTCTTGTTATATAACTACCCTAATGTTATTTCTTCCCTTATTGAAAACGCTCCAAATTTGGAGTATTTATTTCAGTGTTTATGCTATCAGATTCTTCTAATCTGATACTGAGAGTCCCTGGGACAAAATGTCACTCATACGAAGGAGCAACACACCCCTTCACCAAATCCTCCAGTTGACACCTCTCATTTCTTGCCCTCATCTCTGTGCCAGTTTTGCTCCTCATTCCCTCACTCCCTTCCTCCGGCCTTTTGCTAATTCCATGAATGTAAACTGAATGCTTCCCATATTTCAGAAACTGCCAGGCATCAGGGTGACCAAGATGAACACATACTGTCCCTGCCCTCCCAGAGGCTAGGATTCTGCTTGGGCCCGTGCCCGGGGAGGTGTGCCCCTGAGACCCTCCTGGGTTCTGTGGCCTGGCAGAGCTGGACTAAAGACGGCATATCTTTATGGTGGCCTGGGGCTTGGTCACCGTCCTCTGAAAATAGCAGAGCTTCCATCAGATAGAAGTCTCAATGACAAGCAATTTCTTTTTCAGCACTCAACTGAGAACAGAGGCAAATAATAACACAAAAGCAGCTGGTAGGGGTGATTTACTTAGGAAAATGACAACTTTAAGGACAAGTTCTGAAGTCGAAGTGGACAACACTTGGGTAGACCGAGGATGCATGCAATTAATGCTTGCTTAACTAAGCTACAAGGAGGTGAGCTCGTTGAGGGCAGAGGTCTTATTCTGCTGGATAGAGCCTGGTAGAGCGAGGTCTATCAAGGAAGTAGAGGTGGCGATGGGGAAAGGGCCAGGCAGACACCGAAAGCAGGAAAGAAAAGCAGCAAAGTTGAAGAGACAGAAGCTGAAGGCCCACCCCCTGCAGTCTGGGGTGGCTCAGAGCTGTAGACTGAACCTTAATGGCCCCTGAAAAGGCAGAAAAGAGGCAGATAAGAGGAAGATAGCTCTATGGGTGCTGCAAAAACACCTAGAGGCCAAACTCCCAACTGTGCAGAAACTCATGTGGCCCAAACAGATGATAGCCTAAAGGAGCACTGGAGTCAAGAATTCACTTCAGCTCCCTTTTTCTGAGGATTCTGGCACTGAGTTTCCCCTGCACTTATGAAGTGACACATTATAGTGCATGAGACATAGCAGCATTCGGTAAATGCATAAAGGATATATATATAACATGGCAGAGCCATCCATTCACTGCATGGATAAAATATTTACGGGTTATGTATTATGCACCAGGCACTATTGGGCCCTGGGGATACAGTGATGAGCAAACACAGCCTCTGCCTTCAAACTTCTGAGTCTAATGGAGGAACCAGGTACATACATCAGCCACAGGATGTACTCTCAAGAGGCAAACACAGGGTACCATGAGGCTCTTTGGAAGGGCCTTACACAAAGCTGGCAGGCTCCATGCGAAGTGACTTCTAGGCTGACACCTACGGGCTTGCAAGGCAGAGAAACTGAGTGGGAGGAAAAGCATGAGCAAACGAACCAGGGGGTAGAGTGAACATGACACCCACCCCCGCCCCCAAAGCTGAACACAGACCAGGGATCACAGGAGTGTCTGGAGGGAGGGGTAGGTACTGAAGGATTATTCTGCAGAAACAAGTGGGGCCAGACCTGCTTAGAGGGTTTGTTAAGCCATATGAAGGAGTCTGAACTGTATCTTGATGGTAAGGAGTAGCTAGTGATGAGTTAGGGTAGTGGTGTCATCGGGAGCCCAAGACACAGAAGATGCCCAATAGACATATAAAAC